TCACTAACTGCTAGTAGGTTGGAGGCCATCGCTCTTAGGTTGGAGGCCATCGCTCTTGAGTTGGAGGCCATCGCTCTCAGGTTGGAGGCCATCAGGATGAGGTTGGAGGCCATCGCTATCAGGTTCGCTTCACTTATTGCTAGTAGGTTGGAGGCCATCGCTCTTAGGCTAGAGGACATCGCTAAGAGGTTGGAGGCCATCGCTAAGAGTTGGGGGCCATCGCTATTACGTTCGCTTTCACGTGAGGAAATCTTCACTAATTGCTAATAGGTTGGAGTTGGAGGCCATCGCTCTTAGGTTTGAGATCGTCGCTAGTAGGTTGGAGGCCATCGCTCTTAGGTTTGAGATCGTCGCCAGTAGGTTGGAGGCCATCGCTATTAGGCTCACTTTTACGTGAGGAAATCTTCACTAATGAAGGTCCCTCAGGAGTCCTCTAGTAAGATGAAAGGAAAGGCGACTTTTGGTGACGTTGAAGTATCGTGACGTCCGAAACCTAATGCCTTGCAAGCTTTATTGGAATACAAGGAGAAAAGAACAGAGAGCGTTCTTTCTTGTTTCTAAAAGGCGACTTTTTAGTGACGTAGTCTCACGTAGTGATGTCCAAAACCTGAAGCCTCTTGCATTCTTGCTGAAAGAGCAACCTGACCACTCTTCAATGTCGAGGAAGGGAATCTCCGTCTTCCCCAAGGAGGAATCTTGAAACCAACCTTCCCGAAGAACACTGACCTCGAGATGATTCAAGCTGCAGCGCATCGCGTCGATGTCGTTGCTGTATGGTGGAACTTGAGGCCAGGGGGAGGAGGTCGAAAGCTAGCCGAATCGCACCGGATGTACTAGTTACATAGTCGGCAAAACATGTAGGGATTACATGTTTTGGGAGGAAGGTTGCTATGTACATACTTTGCGCTAAAGAATGTAAATGTGACATCGCTGACTGGGAAGGGTACATTGGAACAACCCGGGTGCACTCGTTGGCAGGCACGAAGATGCGTGATCGGCAAATCTGGGGGGTAAATTTACCCTCCGCTTTTGTATGCCTTGAGTCGGAAAAAGGGGTAAGCATTTCTGACATCATACGGACTGTACATACACTAGGGCGTCCGTAGTGTAGGAGAAGCACGGGTAAAAGGTATATGGAATAAATAGAGTGTCTTGAGGAAATAGCCGGCTTATGGTTATGGCAAATCTGGGGGGTAAATTTACCCCCGCTTATGTATGCCTTGAGCCGGAACGAGGGGTAAGCATCACAAGGACTGTGCATACACTAGGGCGTCCGTAGTGTAGGATAAGCACTGGTAAAAGGTATCAAGAATAGAGTGTCTTGAGGAAATAGCCGGTGTATGGTTAGCCTGGGGGGTAAATTTACCATCCGCTTATGCATGCATTAGGTTAGAAATAGGGGTAAACAACTTGTAACGGTGAAGTACAAGTCCTATGCAGCAAGCAGCAGCCAGCAGCAGCAGCAGCAGCAGCAGCCGCCTGCAGCCAGCAGCCAGCAGCAACCGCCAACCAGCAGCCAGCCAGCAGCACCACGCAGCAGCAGCGCAGCATCAAGCCGCAGCAGCAGCAGCACCACCGGCAGCAAGCAGCAAGCAGCAAGCAGCAGCAGCAAGCAGCAAGCAGCAAGCAGCAAGCAGCAAGCAGCAAGCAGCAGCAGCAGCAGCGGCGTCGTCAGCAACAGCAGCAGCAGCACCAAGCCGCAACAAGTAGCAAAGCAGCAGCTACACAAGCGGCAACCAGCGGCAGCAGCAAACAGCAGCAGCAAGCAGCAGAGCGGCAGCAGCAGCACCCTTTACACCAAGCCACCGTTTACACCCAACCAACCACGTTCACACGTTCAACTAACCCCCTACACGGCGCAGCTGGGAGTCAAACCGGGGGGGGGGGGGGGGGTAAAATATCCCCCTAAGGGGGGGGCCGGCCCCCCCCCCCCCTAGTGTGATATATCAAGCTTTAAGGCACACAGCTCATCCCACTACCAATTGCTAAAGCAAAGAAGAACTCAGCTAGCATGCTAGCTTTCGTGATCACATCTCAAATGTCGACATCTCACAACTTGTCTTTAGAAACAATAAGCTACTAGGAAGAAGTGCATCGCTACTAGTAACAAGTGCCTTACTAGTAGTAACAAGAGGCTAGTAGAAACAATTTATATGCCTGCATGTGCTGCACACTGCATATGTTCGGCCAAGATTCCGCTAGAGCGGTGTCGACCCGATGGATTTGGAAAACATAGTCTGCATCCCATTGGCAATTCTGTCCCGGTACTCTCTTCGTCTCGAAGCTCTGGTCTCCCACACTCCTTAGCAGAAATGTGTGCTTCTTTGTTTGCTGGTCTTGGACCGCCAATTGCCCAGAGGTTGAGAAATTAGATTTGGAGAATTGCTGGTCACCTTTCCAGCTCCTAATCAACGACTTGGCATGGATCTTGCCATCGTCTACAATGCAGGCAGTTCTTCAGTTTGTCCAGCCAGAACCATCCCCCACTCCAGCACTTGCGTTCACTAACTAGTTTTGTCAAGATACAGGATCGCATAGTGCTGACCCGCAAAAAGGAGCCTTGCACTTGACAACTGGGCAACGCAAAGAAACATGAACATGCAAATGCAAAGTTCTCCGGCTTCTCAGAATCAGCTTCTTCCGAACATCAGTTACGTAAGACTGCAAGGAGGCCATAGATTGTAAGAATTTGTTAAATAGGATCTAACTTTATTTTCACCTTGCCTTGGAAAAGACCCTCAATTAATTGGAGATTTCTGTGGTGACTGCTTCGTTTTGTGGTAAGAAATCGACTACAAAGACAAAGAAAACACAACCAAAGGCCTCACCTGTCTGCCACCTAGGCACTCAGGCACAGGTAGATCTCTTGCCCGCAGGTGCACCGTCAAACGCCCAATCACTGCAGTCTCTTCAGCATCCTCCTTAGCAGCTTGCAAGCTTTGTCCCTTGCAACACTTTTTCGGTGTGTTTTGAGGAGGCTCCGTGAAACTTGTGGCCAGTTTGGCTGAGCGAGCCGCTCCCTTTCTAAGCTATGAGTGCAATGGTCCTCGATATGTGTCATGTCGCATCGATGACAAACACAATCTCATAAGGACCGACTCCCCGTTTGTTCCAGCAGGCCGGATGAGACCCGCCTGTTTCCCGAGGATGCTCTTGGAACTTCCGCAGCTTGTGAACAGGCTGACAATCGGATCTGAGGAAGTCGTCCGGCTCACCACCCTGGGACGACTGCGAGAGGTCAAGTGATGCGAAGCGGAGCTTTGCACTGGGCAAATCCGCAAATGCATGCTGCAAGTGCACCAAAGTGTCCGTCAGCCGCATGCACAGAACTCTGAAACATTGCAAGTACATTCCGTCCCGTTGGTGTTCATGTTCCCAACATGGTCCCGGTTGCCACGGGCAACAAGCATGCCTTGAAGCCACCATATGCAAATCAAGCATAACTTTGTAAGTTGTTCCGGCTTGGGGCAGCAACCACATACTCCCGCTTGCTTAGAAACACCACATACTGTTGCTTGCCCGACGCCTGATTCACGCTCCACTGTAGCGATTGAATAAACCACCCCACAATCATGCTGCAAGGTCGCTGAGATTGGTTGTGCTTCGCCTCAAAGGCAGACCTCACAAGCTGTGAGAGGGCACAGGTGACAAATCCCTGCTGAACCCCAAAGCCATAAGGGCAAACTGCAAAAGCCCCCCCTATTGCTTCCAATCATGCTTGGGACACAAGACATGGGTCAAGTGCTGTCGGTAGTAAGGGACTCAGCCAAGAACCCATCTTTGCTCAGATTCCGCATTGAAACAACCAGTTTTGTTTCAATATGTGATTCCCTCAGTGTGCATGGCCATTTACATGTGAATTAAAAGCTCTCGTCAACTTATAACTTGTAATATGCAGATGCGTATAGTGCATGCATATATATATATATATGTGTGTGTGTGTGTGTGTGTTTGTCATGGTTTGCTTGAGGCCATTCATCTTTGACTTGCTCAAAACGGACTATGGAAGTGTCGAATCTACCATGGATTGGTGCAAGCCTGTAAAAGGAATACACACAAGCCTGACTTCGTCTTGCAGGTAGCTGACCCAAACCACTCGTATTCGGGCGGTGCCAAATAGGGCCTGTATTGCATTGTTCTCACTCCCCAGTTCTCACATTTGATGCCATGCTACCGCTTGGCTTCAAGCATTTGGTCCAGCCGTTGTTGGTGCAGTTCCAATCTCCGCATCTTCTCCTCCTCCTCTTTCTCCAAGAGCTCCTTGGCACCCATTTCCCAGCCACAAAGGACCCGCCTCTGAAACTTCCAAATCCACTCCTGTTCGATTGACCCTGGTCACTTGACAATCAAAAGAACGCGCACTGAAATTTTTAAGAGTTTGTGTTTTTCATATGTACTACAATGTACTCATTTCTTCACACCACGGCAGTATCACAATCAGAGGACCATCTGTGCTCGCCGCTCAGCTTCTTGCTTCTGGCGCCGGGCCTCCTCCTACCACAATCACTGAACAATGGCTATGGCTATGATGGCCACAGGGCGTATTTCCCCAAACAGCTTGCGAGTGAGCTGGTTTGGGTATTTGGGTAGGAAAGCTATTCTGAGGGAAAGGAGAAGAAACTTGGTGGATGGAGGTATTCATCGACAGCTTGCTGGAATTTTCAAGAATGCCTCAGTTGTTATTGCTCATTGACTTGGAAAAGGTAAAGACTTTAGCCGTCCAATGAGAGGAAGTCATTCACGATCAATTTGCCTACGACGTGCCCTGTCCTGCTTGAGCTCTTCCTCTTCGCGTCTTGTGCGCTGATGGACAGATTCGGTTTGGCGGGTGTATGCAGTCATGAGCTTGCGATGGCAAACCTCCAAGAATTTGAAGGTCTTCTCTGCCTGCCATGTGAGGCAAACTGTCTGACAATTAGGGGTGAATGGCGCGATGTGGTTATCAAGAGATTTCTGATAAGTTGGGTTGCACAGCAACAACCTTTTATAAAGATCTTGCCACCCCAACAACGACCATTGCCTCTGGGTGGCCATTCTTATCTGGATGAAAAAGAAGCCGCTGCCGATTCAGCTTCCCCTTCAGCTTCTGCAAGAGAGGATCACTGGCGTCCATCGATCTGCGGCTTGCAGGGGCATCCAAATCAAAGAAGCCCCACATCTCGTCCAGGTCGATCCTCATCCCAAACCATCCCATCAAATCCATCAACTCCATGCCCTAACTAGACTCTGACAAAGTCCAGAAGGCCCTTAGGTCAGGGGACGGGTGGCCCATTGCCAAGGGTCGGATCCAGGCGGTCAACATAGGAGCGCAGTGCAAGGATCTTTTCAGCGGCCTCGAGAATAGAAAAGGCTTTGGCAGCTACCAAGGCAGCCTTTGGACAAGAATCAAGCTGAAATCTTCATTGACGGCCGTAGTCACTCGGCAACAGGTTCACTGAAATGCCCTGAACCGACGCACCTTTGTGGCTTGTTCTTCACTCATGCGCGTCCCAACCAGCTGACGTACTTGGCTCCTCAAATGGTTTCAAATGCCTCAAGCTGGTGTATCTTTGGGGTAAGGCCGGCATACTCTGAATACTCGGAGAAGCAAACAAAACGCTCCGATCTCCTGGGGCTCAAAGGTTTCGCCTTGGGTTTCGGGGCTGGCGAAGGCTTTGGCGCAGCCGCCGATTTCGGCACGGCCGCGGCGGGCGGGGGCTCAGGCCAAGCGGTCGGCGCTGCGACACCTTGCGACGTCTACCCTCAAAGCGAGGACGTCCAGTTAGACCTTTCTTCATATTCTTTTACCTTGGTTTCCAATAGCGATGGCCTCCAACCTATGAATTTTGTGTAGAAGTAATTCTCCATCTCAAGTGATTCATAGCCGGTGGAATCAGAAGTGGGTGTGGCTGAGAGGTGTGCCTGGTTGACTTCTAGCTACTTGACCTGGAGTTGTGTCAACAACAAGCTACTAAGGGGCCCCTGAGCAACCACTTGGAAAACACAGACTCTCACTAGTCACTAGTTGCACCTGGGCTGTCCTCCTTCGGCTCGCTCTTGCTGAAGAAAAGCACAGGGAACGAGCTTAAGCTGCCAATCCTAAGACTGGTGAAAAATCTCAAGCAGAGCTCAACTGGCAAAGCGCACCCGTGAAAAAAATAGCAAAAAGATTGGACAAACTAGACGACAAGTGGCCCGAAAGCATTTTCATCATGTAGGAAGTCAGAGTGTGAGTTATCTGTTAAGTGTTCAGTGTGAAGTGTTAAGTCGAGTGAGTTGAGGCAGTGTGTGGGTCTGTGTGTGTGTGTCAACCTCTCAAAAGAGAGCCGGGTGGTCGGGAGACATGACTCGCCAGAGCAGCCGCGAGAGATGACTCAGCCGCGAGCACGACTCATCCGCATACTAAAGTTGTACTACAAAGTCGCCAGTTCTCAGCTTCCAGCTCCACAGATTGCTCCGCGTACTAAAGTTGTACTACAAAGTCGCCAGTTCTCATCTTCCAGCTCCCCAGATACTCCGCGTACTAAATTTGTACTACAACTTCGCCAGTTCTCCTCTTCCAGCTCTCCAGATCCTCCGCGTACTAAAGTTGTACTACAAAGTCGCCAGTTCTCAGCTTCCAGCTCCACAGATTGCTCCGCG